CACCACCCTCACACTACCCCCATCTCACCCTCGGTCCCTCACCCCAGCCTCACACTACCCTCACACCACGCCTCCACACTGAATGTTGATTAATCGGTAATTTTTTCCCCCCAGCGGTCATTAGTTGACGACCTTCGCGACGGGTAAACAGTGTCTTGGGTTGATGATCAATCAATGTCACTATGAGTGCGTCAGTTGCTCGTTACAGACGAGTGCGGTGATTGGCCGAAATTGGATAAGTCGATGAACTGACATTCGGAAGAGTCGACAATGGTCTTTTGGTGGGAGAATAGTTGGAAGCAAGTACACAGCCGGGGAAGTCAGCACAATAGATGTAAAGAGTACTGTTACTCATCGCAGTCATATCTGTAATATATAACATATGAACATTTTGTTTGACAAGAGTCTATCATGATTTACATGGCATAAGTCATATACACGATTAAGAAGACATTGTCACTAAGGGAAGTGTGTCTCCTGCCCGTCTTAGTCTCCACTGTTGGGTATCTATCATTCGAAAACTAGTTTTTCGAACAAAATTTCCTTTGCTAAATATGTGATGATGTTAAGAGAGCTAATTTAGCTTTTCTGTGTTCAGCAAGTCAAATTAGGAGAATTTCTGCAGTAACTTGCAGGGAATAACCGTCAGTGATACTGCTCAGTAGTTCATTGGTGCTTCTCTTTCTACTTTCCTATACTGTATAGTGTCATTGTACTTGCTATTGTCTTTCTGGTAGCTATCCTGTTTGTAGAGAAGCTCTGTGTCTGACAGATACAAGACTCGTGGGCAACGGCGAGGCATAACCCGCCAAACACTCCGAAACTACGAAGTTGGTACAACGTAGACTCTGATACACTGACACAGCTATATTGAGCTTACAAGGTTGTTGTTGTTTTAGATTTAGCTACTCAGAAGGAAATGTCCATGTAGCACGGGCTATGGTGAGCCCGTAATACTTTAAGGAGAAATCTTTACATTTATAAGTGTGGATACACCTCACTCTACGAGTCACCTAATCACTCTAATCGTAGGGAGCGGCGAAGGATAGGGTGTGGTGATTGTGCCTGATTCCGAATTCTAGATGTCCGCCAGGTCTTCCATCTTCCCTCCATTGAACTTGGAGCATACCATCAAACAGCTGTGTGCTCGACGTCGAATTCATCTGGATGTTGATTACTGGTGTCAACTCCCAAATAAACACGGGCTGAAGCGTACCAAGCCCATCAACGTCGGTGTGTGTGATTATTGTCGTATCTACCGCAGCAACGCTTGAGCCGTGTTCATTCTGGAGCTGACACCAGTAATCAACATCCAGATGAATTCGACTTGGAGCATACAACTGTTCGATGGTCCTCCGTTGGTGTGTGGTGGCTATGCTGGGGCAAGACGGGTCATAGTGGGGCGGAGCGGGGCGGGTCATAGTGGGGCGGAGCGGGGCGGGTCATAGTGGGGCGGAGCGGGGCAGGTCATAGTGGGGCGGAGCGGGGCGGGTCATAGTGGGGCGGAGCGGGGCGGGTCATAGTGGGGCGGAGCGGGGCAGGTCTAGTGGGGCGGAGCGGGGCGGGTCATAGTGGGGCGGAGCGGGGCGGGTCATAGTGGGGCGGAGCGGGGCAGTGCTAGTCATAGCGGGGCTAGACGGGTCAGAGCGGGGCCAGGCGGGTCATAGTGGGTCATAGCCGGACGGGGCGGTCATAACTGGGCGGGGCGAGTCATAGCAGGGGCGGGGCGGGTCATAGTGGGGCGGGTCATAACGGTGCGGGGCTGGTCATAGCGGTGCGGGGCTGGTCATAGCGGAGCGCGTCATAGCGGTGCTGGTCATAGCGGGGCGGATCATAGCGGTGCTGGTCATAGCGGGACGCGTCATAGCGGTGCGGATCATAGCGGTGCGGAGCGGGTCATAGCGAGGCGGGGCGGGGCTGGACAGGCAAGGTAGCGAGCATGGTGGAATGCATCTTATTGATTAGTGCCGGAGACGACAACATCAGGCAGCGTGTGGACCTCTGATACAGCCTATGATGAGTCTTCCAGAAATACCTGGAGATGTCATTACCATCGATCTCGCACTCTACAGGACGACCTGCTAGGACGCAACCTCTCACCCCCCAAGCTCCTTCCTGCCCCACCTCAACCACTTCTCCTCTCACCACGTCCACCATGCTAACCCCTCCCGACCCCACCCCTCTCACCCGACCACCACCCACACCACGTCCACCAAGCAACCCCACCCCGAGGTGAGAGACAGGTAGGGACGGTGTTCAGGGGGTGAGAGACAGGTAGGGACGGTGTTCAGGGGGTGAGAGAAAGGTAGGGACAGTGTTCAGGGGGTGAGAGACAGGTAGAGACAGTGTTCAAGGGGTGAATATATGCGAGTCACAAAAGTTCTGGGTCGGCAGGTTGGTTGCTACCACACAATTGCCAGTGTGTGTGTGTGTGTGTGTGTGTGTGCTTGCGTGTGTGCTTGCGTGCACGTCGGGGGATCCGGAAACTGCGTAGACTGGTGCGTGTGGGACCAGGAGAAGGGGGGAGGGGATCAGGTGAGGAGGGAAGGGGAAGGGGAAGGTGGATACAGCGTGTATTCCCTCATCTCTTAACCGCCTCTTCTTTGTACCGTTTTATAGGACCGGTGGCAATGTATTGCAAGGTGCTTAACATTGACGTTGTTGCAAGGGAAGGGGTGGAGATGTGGGGGTGAGTGGAGGAGGGGGTAGAGGTGGGGTGAGAGGGGAGAGGGAGGCGTAGAGAGAAAAAGAGAGGAGGTAGGTAGAGGTACATAAAGAGAGAGAGACGGCGGGGGAAAAGAGAACAGGAGAGGCAGGCGGGGGCAGGCTGGCATGCAGGGTTTTGCGTTCAATTTAACAGGCAAAGATAGCTTTTGTAAACCCGGCATGATAAATGGCGGGGGTGAGCGGCCGGCTGCAGCGGCCAGTTGTAGCGGCCAGTTGTAGCGGTCAGTTGTAGCGGCCAGCTCCAGCGGCCAGTTGTAGCGGCCAGTTGTAGCGGCCAGCTCCAGCGGTCAGTTGTAGCGGCCAGTTGTAGCGACCAGCTCCAGCGGTCAGTTGTAGCGGCCTGTTGTAGCGGTCAGTTGTAGCGGTCAGCTCCAGCGGTCAGTTGTAGCGGCCAGCTCCAGCGGCCAGTTGTAGCGGCCAGCACCAGCGGCCAGTTGTAGCGGCTAGCTCCAGCGGCCAGTTGTAGCGGCCAGCTCCTGCGTGGTGTGTAAGTTCCTCCCGCACAACAGACCTGCTGCTGCACCTGTGGCTACCGCTGCTGCTGTTACTGCTGTCACCACTCCTGCTGCTGCTGATGCTGCTTCTCTCTATTTGTTTTCAGACCCGAATTTATCGTGATGTTGGAACTAACATCTGACCAAACATAAAATACGCTGCTCCATCTCCCAAGTAACACAATACATTTAGAACACGGCAAAAAATTATAAACTGTTTTCAGCATTTTTCAATAGTGTTTCATATGAATATCTAATATTAAGATTAGTGTACTCTCGTTGCATCGTTTTAAGACCAGTTTCAAGTGTGGCGTTGCGTGTTCCACTTGGACAAGGTTAACAACCAAATAGGTTCAGCCTTAATAATCAACGCAACCATATGCGTGTAGGACTATCATCGTGTGATCCACCGCCACGATTGATCAAGCATTAACGCTATAACTTACGAAACCTGTACGTCTTTCCTCAAGTCGTGCTTTATTTACATTAAATTAGCAGTTTACTATCTTCGAAAGTTCACAACCGGAGGTTATTATTGTTATAAACAACTTCGTAGTGCTTCGGAGCTTATATAGTCTTTATTAAATGTAAAGAAAGCTGCTGTGATTGAGGAAAGATGTAGAGGTTTCGTAAGAGGTTGCGTATATGCTTGATAGATCCAGCCCTAGACTGGGCCAAAATAAAAAGTACCAGGGACGCCCACCAGCCCCACTCAACGTGCAAATTTTAAATTAAATTATTGCATATATGATTAATTCTGAAGAATTTCCTTAAATTAATTTTGTACATCTTGACTGAGTCTAAAACCCTAAACTATTTTATCTGTATCAGACAGTGTCAGACGAGGGTCGTGGAGGTATTTAATATTATCCAATTAGGTGGCGAGAAAAAAGGTTGAAGAAGCCAGCCATACACCACAATAGTCTCAGGAACCTGTACACCACTTGATCGACAATTGAGAGGCCGGACCAAAGAGCCTAAGCTCAACACCCGCAAGCACAGTAAGTTGAATTAGGTGAGTACACCCTGAACCCACATGACACACGAAACAAATCTCCAGATAACTTTCTCTTTTCACGAAAAAAAAAAACATTTTGTGACCTTAATTACGTGCGCCAATATCCCCAAGAAGTACGCCCACCCTCCAGCAGGTATGCACGCCCACCCTCCAGCAGGTATGCACGCCCACCCTCCAGCAGGTATGCACGCCCACCCTCCAGCAGGTATGCACGCCCACCCTCCAGCAGGTATGCACGCCCACCAGCGCATGTGCACGGCCGCCAGACCAAACACACGCCGGCACGTACGCTCACCTGCCTGAGGACACGACCCCCGTAATTTATTCAGTTGGGCCGTGGTTGAGTGCGGGGCGACAGGCGCCCCACAGCCACGACGGTCACACACACCCATCATTAACAACGTAACGACCAGCCTGCACCTCTGTTTTGATCGTTTGAGGCTAGTTTGTCGGCTTAAAGCAAGCCTGGGGTGAGGATACTACGCTCCACAGCTTTATAGAACATGTTTTTGGTGGATGGGATGGCTGGGATATCGACCTAGTGTGAGCCAGCAGCAGTTATCTGGCCAGCGAAGACTGGCCAGATATCAAAGCCACCTGACTGGCTTATCAAAGCCAGTCAGGCTTTGAAGAGCATGGTTTAGCTGGGCTTGCTGGGTCCGGCTTGGTTGGCTTCGATGGGTCTGACTTGCCTGTTCGAGTTTGACTTGTTTTGATATGTACTGGTTGGCATGGTTTGGTGTGGCTTGGGATAGCATGGGTTAGTGCGGCTTGGGATAGCATGGGTTGGTGCGGCTTGGGATGGCATGGGTTGGTGCGGCTTGGGATGGCATGGGTTGGTGCGGCTTGGGATGGCATGGGTTGGTGCGGCTTGGGATGGCATGGGTTGGTGTGGCTTGGGATGGCATGGGTTGGCACGGCTTGGGATGGCATGGGCTGGCACGGCTTGGGATGGCATGGGTTGGTGTGGCTTGGGATGGCATGGGTTGCTGTGGCTTGGGATGGCATGGGTTGGCGTGGCTTGGGATGGCATGGGTTGGCGTGGCTTGGGATAGCATGGGTTGCTGTGGCTTGGGATGGCATGGGTTGGCGTGGCTTGGGATGGCATGGGTTGGCGTGGCTTGGGATAGCATGGGTTGCTGTGGCTTGGGATGGCATGGGTTGGCGTGGCTTGGGATGGCATGGGTTGCTGTGGCTTGGGATGGCATGGGTTGGCGTGGCTTGGGATAGCATGGGTTGCTGTGGCTTGGGATGGCATGGGTTGGCGTGGCTTGGGATGGCATGGGTTGCTGTGGCTTGGGATGGCATGGGTTGGCGTGGCTTGGGATGGCATGGGTTGGCGTGGCTTGGGATGGCATGGGTTGGCGTGGCTTTGTGATCTGAAAAGGCTTTGTTTATTATATATTTGTTTTGTACATCAGACATTCCTTTTACGCTACAAAATCCGAACAATATTTTGACGTTAAATTTACTTGAAGAATTATTGTGGCGATGTTGATCTAAAAGAGAGTGTGAGAGTGTGTTGCAAGTTGGTGGTGCAGACGCGGGTGGTGGTGCCGGTGTCCATGGTTCATGGTGAATATGTATACAAATGTATACAAATGTTTACCATACAAATGGTAATGTTAGCTTGCAGATATTTTTCATATAATAACATAATTCTCATATTAGCTAGTGCATCGTTCAGTTGAGAGGGTATACATATATATACGTGCCTGCGGGGGTTGAGCATCGGCTCTTGGGTCCCGTCTCTCAACTTTCAATGAACTGGTAAATGTGTCTTGTGTGGGTGATAAATATGGTGATGGTTCCATACGATTGTCAGTAAACGTATCTGAAGTTGGAGGTCATGCAGACGAGCAGCTGGTTCGAATGCATGAATACGCATGAAAGGTCAAGGCTCCTGACCCCTGACAATTCAAGAACACACGACTCGGCGTGACGGCCATTGCAGCCAATTGCCTGAAACAGCGGTAATCTCTTCCTCTCTCTCATAAAGATGGACAAAAAAGGCTATCAGATTCTTTTCCAATTAAAACGAGGCTAGTTTTAGCGTGTGTAAGATGTGGGTTAATGGGGAAACTTGCGCCGTAACTCTGGCGCAGAGAGGGTGGTCCCCGCCTGGGTAATTGTTGATCCTTTAGCCAGGCTCCTGCACACTGGCCTGCCCTGTGAGGGAGGGACGGGAGAGGGAAGGGAGAGGGAAGGGAGAGAGAGAGGTATTAATTGGGAGAGGTGAAACTAGAGACGGGATTAGAGGGGAGAAGGGGTAAGGGGAATGGGAGTTAAGGGGGAAATGGGGTTAGATGAAGATTGAGAAAGGGAGAGAGTGATTAAATGGGAGAGGAAAGCAGGAGGAGGAGAGCGTGGAAGAGTAAGGGAAAGGAAAGGTAAGGGAGAGAGGGGAGGTAGACAGTACCAATACGAACGCTTGACACGGGAGGGGGGAGGGGGGGGGAGAACAGGTCTGTGGATGTGAACTTGTTGAACAAGTTGGTGGACGGAGAAGAGCTCCCGCCAAACACACACACCGAAACTACGACGTTGCTACAACGTTCGAACAAGTTTTAACACCTCCTAACCAGTTATAACAACCAATATAGCAAGTTGTAACAACGTTCCAATACGTCATAAACATGTTAAGCCAAGATGTAACAACTTTATCACAAGTTGTAACAAGCGGAAAATAGAGACAGTTAGGGTTTGTGTTTCCAGGGAGTAACGTAAGAGGGGTAGAAGGTGGAAGGAAAACAGTCTTAACAGATGGGAAGTTGAAGGATAACTTGAGTAACTTAACTAAGGAGTTCGAGAGAGAGAACAACCTCATGAAGCAGGCATGGAGGATGCCTACGTGAAGGTAACCATGAGGTAAGTAACGCATGGGGAGACGGGCTCACCATAGCCCGTGCTACTTGGAACCTCGTTCCAGGTAGCGAATCTTTAACAACAACAACAACAGCATGAGGAGGGAGGAAACTGTGGAGGGAACCAACATGGAGGATGCAGACATGTAGTCCACTTCGCCATCACACCGTCAGTAGTGAGAAATTTGTCAAAAGGTTGTCAACATTTTTATCATTTGTCGGCGTTGATCGCGACAGTGCACTCTCGCCCTCCCTCCCACCTCTCTGATCCTGGGCCACCCTTCCCCCTTCCTCTCCAGTTCTCTTTCCTCTCCTGTCTCCCATTTCCACATTTCTTCCTTGCCTCTTCTATTCTCTGTCCAATCCCTCCCCGACACTTTGCCTCCCTCTCTCTTCTCTACTCTCTCTCTCCACTCCCTTTATCTCCCTTCCAAATCTCTCCCTCCCCCTTCCCTCTTCCTCCGTGCCTCTTTCTGCCCAGGTACACTGCCGGACAGAATCTATTTTAGCATATGTGAGCTTTGATCTGGGAGTGGCGCTCTTGGGTCAGTAGCAATCATTGAGAAGGGAGGAGGCGATAGAGACGGAGAAGACGGACAGGAGAGTGAGAAAGAGGAAAGGGGGAGGAGGGAACTGTCAGGGGAAAGTGCCAAGCCATTAGGACAATATAGCACTGGGAAGGGGTCAGGATAAGGATTTGGGATGGGACGGGGGGGAAGGAATGGTGCCCAACCACTTGGACGGTCAGATTTGAAAGCAGGCGAAAACAAAGTGATAGACAAATGCCAGTAAGCCCATCAAAATGTCACCAGGTTCCGTTAACACACAAGGGAGGTTGATAGTTTAAAGATTACTTTATTTCAGTCTTTAGATGGATAATTCTAACTATGGTTTCCTAAGACAGGCAAGTGAAGGTTGGGTTTAATAAGCTACAAGGACAAGAGCGCAGTACTCACGTTCCCAGAAAATTTTGCAGTTTACACACAATACCACACACCAAAGTCCTCACTCTCTGTCTGTCTTCAGTGTTGTTGTTGTTGTTGTTTTAGATTCAGGAACTCGGAACCAAAAGTTCCAAGTAGCACGGGCTATGGTGAGCCCGTGGTGGACTTACCTGGCACAGGAGCGGGCTGTAATTCTCTGTCCTCAGTCTAGGCTTGATCTGCTACACAACTGTGAGACATTCGGAGTCCTTTGGCGAATAATATTAATCCCTACTGGATTAGCAACACCTCATATAACAGCATTGTTACACCGTACACAGTTGACCAGACTTGACCTGGCTCTTGACCTGGCCCTTGACCTGGCCCTTGACCTGGCCCTTGACCTGGCCCTTGACCTGCCCCTTGACCTGCCCCTTGACCTGGCCCTTGTTTGGTTCGCACCTGGATAAGGTTTGAGTCTTCATTGTCCACATCTAGACTGGTAGTCGCCAAGCACAGACCTGCTCCATTGTTACCTGTTCTGCTGTTATCTTCTTGTGAGTACTATACTCTCTTGTTACAGGTACCCTACGGGGTGGGGCACCTCAGGGGAGGCACCCACGGGGTGGGGCACCTCAGGGGAGGCACCCACGGTGTGGGGCACCTCAGGGGAGGCACCCACGGGGTGGGGCACCTCAGGGGAGGCACCCTACGGGGTGGAGCACCTCAGGGGAGGCACCCACGGGGTGGGGCACCTCAGGGGAGGCACCCACGGGGTGGGGCACCTCAGGGGAGGCACCCACGGGCTCCTGCGCCACACACGTTTCATGTTAATGTTTTGTTACTGGGTAAGAGCACACAAAGAAGCCATTAATATTTCAGTCAGCCATCCTCAGCCTTTGTCTACCTTCTGAATGAAACATGCGTCAGAATTCTTATAGGGGGTTGATGTGTGGGGATGTGGGGGTGTGGCGGGGAGGGGTGGAGGTGGGTGGGTGGGTGTGTGTGGGGGTGGGGTGGAGGTGGGTGTGATGAGTGTGTGGGTGTGGGTGTGAGGGGTGTGGGGGTTGTGTGGGGTGAGTGAGAGAAGGGCACGTGAGGTTGGGTTTATTAATAAAGAAAGCTATATTTCTCACCACGTAAAGCAAGTGTTACCTCTGAGAGATATTCATCATCTATCATCTTGGTAATGGCCTTCGGTCTAGTATCGTTAAGCTGATTGGGCTTAAGAAGAAGAAACTTCACTAAGCTGGATCGACAGGGGCGGACTTGCAGCTTTTTCTTTAAAGTTACGGAGGTTTTGTCACGTGGCTTCTGCATACGTAACGACCTTGTGTTGGCTCTTACCGGCGCGCGCACGGCTCTGTCCTCTCCTTGTTACGGTGTCCAGCAGCGCCTCCTTGGCCCCGTCTGTCTATCTCCTGACTTTCATTACTCCAGTTTCTTGTCTGATTTCCTTTTTGAAGCTGCGTGTTGAATTTGCCTCAACGATCTCCTCTTGAAGTTCGTGTCCTCTGGTTCTGTCGTTTCTCCTTTTGCCTCTTTGTTGAGAGTTTCTCCTATTGTGTTCTCTCTCTCTTTCTATCCTTTCCAATCCCTCTTGCTTCTTATGTAAAAAATTAGCTGGTTTTATACTTTTTCAAGTCCTGTTGTGTGATGAACTTATTCTCAGCTTCCTTGAACTTTCCGACTTTCCAGTCCACGGCTTCTTAAGGAGATTTGCATCTGACCTTTTTCCCCACTCTTCGCGTTAGGAATTCCCTGCATTTTTGGTAGTCCCCCTTTGCCGCACACAAGTGTTCCTGCCTCACCCTCCCCAAATCCTCACCTGGATTTCGTTGACGCCAAAGGTTAGCACGCCGTGTTCACAAGGGCATTTTTCTATTTCGTGTTTGGTGTGTCTGCCACTACGTGAAATCGAGTCTAGAGAGGCTGGTAAATCATTTATTTATCCTAATATCATGAAATTTCTATCCATTGTGTCTACAAGCTTTGGCATCCATCTGTCTTCCCCGCCCCGGGAAACCACGCATTCCTTCCCAGTGAATTGTTACTTGGTTGTAGTCTTCCATGACTAGTACCTTGGTTCTGATATGATGGTCTCTTCCTATAGCCTCCTGGAGAATTCCTATTCTGCATTTATTTTCCTCCTTATAGTCATTCCTGGGTCTCCTGTTGTCCTCTGGTGATCACTGCCACGAACACTGTCCTTATATATCTCGCCTGCAGTGTATTCTTGGCATCTGTTTACATCTTTCACGTTTATATCCTAATAGTTCACATATGGTCTCATCAGCAGTGCCACTCCATCTCCATCCCTAACCTCATTTTCTATTCTTATTATCTGAAATTCTTTATGGAAAAGGACATTTGTTGCTATTCTAAGCAGCTTTGTTTCCAGCGTAGCTACTATATCGGGTTCCATTTATCTTATTCTTTCTCTCGCAGTTCCTCTGCCTTGTTCGTCACTCCATCTGAGAGGTCAGTGGGTGTGTGGAGAAACTTTCCTGTGAGTTTGTGTTTTGGTGGATTATGTTGTGGGCGTGGTGTTGGGTCCTGTTGTGGGCGTGG